GTATTTTTTACAGTTTTTTTTCCTGTAATTGGTATCTAGTCTCATAGCGTTGTGGTCGGAAAAGATACTTGATACGATTTCAATTTTCTTAAATTTACCAGGGCTTGATTTGTACTCAAAATATGATCTATCCTGGAGAATGTTCCATGAGCACTTGAGAAGAAAGTGTATTCTGTTGTTTTTGGATGAAATGTCCTGTAAATATCAATTAAGTCCATCTTGTTTAATGTGTCATTTAGAGTTTGTGTTTCCTTATTTATTTTCATTTTGCATGATCTGTCCATTGGTGAAAGTGGGGTGTTAAAGTCCCCTACTATTATTGTGTTACTGTTGACTTCCCCTTTTATGGCTGTTAGCGTTTGCCTTATGTATTAAGGTGCTCTTGTGTTGGGTGCATAAATATTTACAATTGTTATATCTTCTTCTTGGATTGATCCCTTGATCCTTCTGTAGTGTCCTTCTTTGTCTCTTGTAATAGTCTTTATTTTAAAGTCTATTTTGTCTGATATGAGAATTGCTACTCCAGCTTTCTTTTCATTTCCATTTGCATGAATATGTTTTTCCATCTCCTCACTTTCAGTCTGTTTGTGTCCCTGGGTCTGAAGTGGGTCTCTTGTAGACAGCATATATTCGGGTCTTGTTTTTGTATTCATTCAGCCAGTCTATGTCTTTTTGTTGGAGCATTTAATCCATTTACATTTAAGGTAATTGTCAATATGTATGTTTCTGTTACCATTTTCTTAGTTGTTTTGGGTTTGTTTCTGTGCGTCTTTTCCTTTTCTTGTGTTTCCTGCCTAGAGAAGTTCCTTTAGCATTTGTTGTAAAGCTGGTTTGGTGGTGCTGAATTCCCTTATCTTTTGTTTGTCTCTAAAGGTTTTAATTTCTACATCAAACCTGAATGAGATCCTTGCTGGGTAGAGTAATCTTGGTTGTAGATTTTTCCCTTTTATCACTTTAGTTAAGTATGTCCTGCCACTCCCTTCTGGCTTGTAGAGTTTCTGCTGAAAGATCAACTGTTAACTGTATAGGGATTCCCTTGTATGTTATTTGTTGCTTTTTCCTTGCTGCTTTTAGTATTTTTTCTTTGTATTTAATTTTTGATAGTTTGATTAATATGTGTCTTGGTGTGTTTCTCTTTGGGTTTATCCTGTATGGTATTCTCTGTGCTTCCTGGACTTGATTGACTATATCCTTTCCCATGTTAGGGAAGTTTTCGACTATAATCTCTTCAAATATTTTCTCAGACCCTTTCTTTTTCTCTCCTTCTTCTGGGACCCCTATAATTCAAATGTTGGTGCGTTTAATTGTTGTCCCAGAGGTCTCTGAGACTGTCCTCAGTTCCTTTCATTCTTTTTTCTTTATTCTGCTCCCTGGCAGTTATTTCCACCATTTTATCTTCCAGCTTACTTATCCGTTCTTCCACCTCAGTTATTCTGTTATTGATTCCTTCTAGAGTATTTTTAATTTCAGTAATTGTGTTGTTCATTACTGTTTGTTTGCTCTAGTTCTTCTAGGTCCTTGTTAAATGTTTCTTGTATTTTCTCCATTCTATTTCCAAAATTTTGGATTATCTTTACTATCATTATTTTGAATTCATTTTTTAAGATAGCTTTCCTGTTTTGTCTTCATTTATTTGGTCTTGTAGGTTTTTACCTTGCTCCTTCATCTGTAACCTTTTTTTGTCGTTTTTTTTTTTTTTTGATGGGTGGTGCTGTATTCCTGTCTTACTGGTTGTTTGTACTGAGATGTCAAGCACTGGAGTTTGTAGGCAGTTGGATAGATCTGGGTCTTAGTGCTGAGATGAGGACCTCCGGGAGTCCTCACTCCAATTAATATTCCCTGGGGTCTGAGTTTCTCTGTTAGTCCAGCGGTTTGGACTCGGAGCTCCCACCACAGGAGCTCGGGCCTGACCTCTGGCCTCGGAACCAAGATCTCGCAAGCTTTGTGGCACGGTAAAAAAAACAAAAGGAAGGAAGAAAGAAAAAAAAGGTGCAGTACAATATCAAAGAATAAAAAAATAAAATTGGAAAGATAAAAGATATATTAGGAAAAATAAAACTATAATTGAAACAACTGCAACAAGGTAAAATAAAACCACAACAGAAAAAAGAAAAAAAAAGAAAGAAAAGGGCCCCGTGAACAAGACAAGAGGAGAGATCACTAACAAAGTATAAAGAATAAAATAAAATTGGAAAAATAAAAAATTTATTAGGAAAAATAAAAGAATCAACAACAATGAGTCAACAAGGTGAAACAGAACCCCCATCTAAAAGAGGAAAAAACAACAATAAGAAAAGCCTTGGCTCTGAGGGCGGAGTTCAGGTGGGGGTGGAACTTAGGCAGGGGTGGGGTTTAGGGTGGGGCGGGACCTAGGCGGGTTGCGGGGTGACGTTTGAGCATGGGATGCGGCCTCTGCTTAGGGCGGAAGGGGAGAGGCAGCGCGTGGAAAGGAGGGCCTCTGGAGTGTGGAGCTCCGGAGTCTGGAGGTAGGGCCCTGAGTGGGGTTGTGTGGGTGGGGCTTGGTCCCAGCGCCTTGGAGGGAGTCTCGGGGTCTCCGAGTGTAGGGGCGGGGCTTGGGCTCTGCACAGCAGGAGGGAGGCTGGGAGGGCAGAGGATTAGGCCCAGGAGCCCAACAGGTTCCCTGGTGCCTAAGTGGACAGGGAAAGTGCTGGCTCCGTTCCCTGCCGTTCCTTCGCACCCCTCCCCACCATCTCCCCCGGGATCTCCCCTGTTGCTGCTGGACCCCTAACCGTGCATGGGTGGGTCCCGCCAGGTGTAGGAACTCCTCCCCTCCCCCAGCTGCCCCTCAGGGGTGCTGGTCCTGGAGGTCTGGCCTTTACTTTTGCTCCCCCTTCCCTCCCTCCCATTCCCTCGGGACCCGCGCAGCTGGAGGAGGCCTCGGTGCGCACAGGATCAGGCCCGGGATCTCATCAGGCTCAGGCAGGGGAAACCTGGCCATGCTCCCTTTTGACTCTCTGCCCTCCCAGTGGTCCCCCAACCTCCCCCTTCAGGTGTGGGATCCCTTCCCCGTCCCCAGCCGCCCCTCAGGGGCACCAGTCCCCTCCACGTCCTACCCAGTTGTTGGGGGTTCGTCCTGTCCCCTTAGGTGTCTGTGGTCCCCCGCTGGTGCCTGGTAGGTGCCCTAGTTGTTCAGAGACATGAATTCCACGTCCTCCTAGTACACCATCTTGACTCCACCCCCTGTACCTTTATGTGAGACTTTATTGCAAGGACCATATATATATATATGTATATGTATATATATATATATATATATATATATATATATATAACTAAGTGAAAGAGGAGAAAGCTTCTATGTGTTTGCCCTAATTACTGTTTAGCAAAGTGTAGTGATTTTTATATGTTAATCTTAGAACCTTTAAAAGAGACAGCAGGAGTTGGCACTCAAAGGTAAGGAATCTGAAGCTAACTCAAAGTTTTCTTATTTTGATTTTTCTAAGACAACTGCCAAATAAATGAACATGATGAAAAATGATGAGTTAAAACAGAAAAGTTGTTTTTATGTCAACAATGAATTATTAATAGTAACCCTTATTAAGGATTTAGTTTGTGTCAGGCCTTGTTCAGAGTTATTTGTGTTGACTCACTCAGTCTCACCACAGCCCTGTTGGGAGCTATTCTTATTTTCCCATTTCACAGATGGTCCCCAAGGCACAGAAAGGCTCGGTGGTCTCCCCATGCTTACTCACCTGGTAGGTGAGCTTAGGTGGGAACCAGGCCATCAGCCTTTCAGCATCTCTGTCCAGTCACTGTGCCCCACGGCCTCTCTGTTAAGCAGCTCAGCTGCCCAGAAACACCGTTCCTCTCAGCAATCACTTGACAGTGTTATGTGGTTTGGGGAAGGTTTTATTTTGTTTTGTTTTGTTTTGTTTTGTTTTTTGCGGTACGCGGGCCTCTCACTGCTGTGGCCTCTCCCGTTGCGGAGCACAGGCCCCAGACACGCAGGCCCAGCGGCCATGGCCCATGGGCCCAGCCGCTCCACAGCATGCAGGGCCCTCCCGGACCGGCGCACGAACCTGCGTCCCCTGCATCAGCAGGCGGACTCCCAACCACTGCGCCACCAGGGAAGCCCCTGTTTTGGTTTTTTGGGGGGGGGGGCTCATGATAGCAAAATAAGCAAATGTGTTAATGGCCTACATCAATTCCCAATGATTTCTTTAAGATCAATAGAAAAGCAAATGAAAAATGGTTGTGCTTAAAGTTAGAGGATCCTCTGAGTATAAGAATTTGAGTCATCTACTGAAAGGTTCTTTTTAAGCCTAAGTGCGATATGGTTATGCTATCATTTTATGAGAGCTAAGTGGATTTTTCAGTTCCGTCAAAGCTAGGATGAAAGAGCTGAATTAACAGCTTAGCATGTGAAATCAGACACTCCTGGGTTCCTCACTGGTCTCCGCAGCCAGCCAGCTTTGTGCTCCCCCTTCTTGGCCGTGAGGTCGGGTCTGCCTCCAGGACTTCCCGTGTGGACTGGATGAGAGCAGGCGTGTCCGGTGTCCTGAGTGGCACGGGCACAGAGAGCGTACTGTACGGCTCGGCTCCTATCGAGCTTATTTTGGTGAAGAAACTCATGTTCACTTGTCCGGGTTTCCTATTCTGCCTGGAGTTTCATGGCTGTTTTGTCCAAGTTGAAGAGAGCAGCAGCAGTATGAGCTGACGCAGAGGTGAGGCTGGCTGGAGCTGGGCCCGCTCCGCCTCCTTAGCTGTCAGACCCCGGCAGGTGACTCCGCTTTCCTGACCCTCCCCCTCCTCCTCGTGGGGAGAATCATACCCACCTCAGATAGGCCGGGCGAGGGTTAGTTAGGTCACATGTCGAGTGCTGGCTTTTCTTGAGACCACTTATTTAAAGATATGAAAAAATCTTGTTTTGTGATGTCATCCTGCTAAATTATTAAGTTGCCTAAAAATACCAATTAATAAATTTTAGAGTCCATTTTTCCTATATTTACCTAAAAATGCCATTTTTATTCCTGTTGTAGGTGCTGGAGATCAGAATTTATTTACGTCTATTTATCCGACGCTCTCCCAGCAGCTTCCAAGAGAACCGATGGAATGGAGAAGGTGCGGTGCCGCTGCTGTGCGCTGCGCCCCCTCCTCGCTCTGTAGGCATTTGTGTGAGCGACTGAAGTAGTAAGAGTTAAAGGCTAAGTTCTCAGGAGACGGGGTGCAGCCACGGAATTGTGGCCCTTCCTCTCTAAGGAGTGTGTTGAGTTTCTTGCCAAGACATAGGGTGGTAGAAATGGGACACTTCTTCTGAGCTGAAGGCCCACTTTTGTAGCAATAGCTTCTGATTCCTCATGGCATTTTGGAAAGGAGACGCACACTCCGATTCCACATTAGAGCAGGTGCCTCTGTCTGCTGTCTTATGAGGCCTTCTCTCTGCCCTGAGCTCCTGGCTCTTCTCTTAAGGGTGAGAAAGTACACAGAAAGATGTTACTTAAAAATTATGAAGGAGGGGCTTCCTTGGTGGCACAGTGGTTAAGAATCTGCCTGCCAATGTAGGGGACACGGGCTCGAGCCCTGGCCTGGGAAGATCCCACATGCCGCGGAGCAGCTAAGCCCGTGCACCACAACTACTGAGCCTGCGCTCTAGAGCTCGCGTGCCACAACTACTGAGCCTGTGTGCCACAACTACTGAGCCTGCGCTCTAGAGCTCGCGTGCCACAACTACTGAGCCTGTGTGCCACAACTACTGAGCCTGCGCTCTAGAGCTCGCGTGCCACAACTACTGAGCCTGTGTGCCACAACTACTGAGCCTGCGTGCCACAACTATTGAAGTCCACACACCTAGAGCCCATGCTCTGCAACAAGAGAAGCCACTGCAATGAGAAGCCCGCACACTGCAATGAAGAGTAGTCCCCGCTCGCCGCAACTAGAGAAAGCCCACGCACAGCAACGAAGACCCAACACGGCCAAAAATAAAAATTAAAAATTAAAAAATTTATAAAAAAAAATTAGGAGAGAAACCAGATCAATCCTCCCGTTTGCCCTATTGTTTGTAATTGTTCCTCTAATGACTCGTTCTGAGGAAATAATTGACTTTGAATTATCTTACTGGAAGACTAATTTCTGGTAAGATTAGATATTATTTGTAGAAAATGTTTGGATTGTGACTTGTTAATACTGGTAATCTGATTTTAACCAAGGTATATGGAGAATTTCCTGTTGTTACTCATGTTCGTGTAATTCTGATTCTTGCTGTGTTATTCCTTTCTGATCACCAGTTTGTAATCTACTAACTTGCAGAGTTAACATTCCAGATGACTGGCCCGGGCTCTCTAGTGAACCTAGTCTAGTTTTTGTGCCCGATGATAGTGTTACAAGGAATGTGTTTAATTACCTGCATGTAATATGAGGAGTGTACAGAACGTGGGAGAATTCTCTCACAGAAAAATTATTCAGCGTCTCGAGAGGCCCAGCGCTGTGAGCGAGAGAAAAGAGTCCAGCAAACGGAAGAGTTTAATACCTGAGGAAATGGAGTAAATCTGTAAAAGGCTCCAATAGTGCACGTTACCTAAACATTCGGAAAGACAGAAGAGACAGGGAAATAGAGACACCGCGTAGATTTAACACGTGTTTTCATCTCTTCACCTTCTTGAAAACTAAATGAGCAAAGAGAACGAGAGATGTTCAAGGACAGAGGAGGGCAGAAGTGGCAGCAGCAGAGGTGTGGGCGCCTCTTTGGGAGAAGGAGGATGGACAGAGGAATAGGAGGGAAGGCTGAGCCCTTGTGTCTGCAGAGGTGGCTCCCTGAGAAGCAGGCGAGTCCCTGACAGGTGATAGGGCCCGGGGCCCAGGACCTTGGTAGGCGAGGGGTAGAAAGGGGTGACAGAAGGCCCGGGCAGGGTTCCCTCTGCCGTGGGGTGGGGTGTGTGTGTGTGTGTGTGTGTGTGTGTGTGTGTGTGTGAAAATTTTAAATTAATTGATTAGATCTTGGGGGGAAAAGATTGAAGCGAAACTTTACTTGATGCCGTGAACTGCTGTGTAGCTGAAAAGCAAAGTAGTGAGTTGGGAGGTTGCGCTTGGAAACTCTGGAGTTGAATGCTGAGAGCTGGAGTTGGAGGCGTGAAAGGAAAGCTGAGCCGTGAAGGCTGAGTCCAGAAGTTTCAATGTCCCGTGGAAGATGTTTCAGAAGGAGAGTGTAGAGCGGGTGGGGGACAGGCGATACTTGGAGGACGGGCGGCAAGATTTTCCCCGCAGTGAGTTTGGAGATTGCAGGGGCCGCTGAATGTCGAGCAGAATGAAAACAAAACAAAGCAAACCAAAAGCCACGCCAAGCAACAGGGAGGAAAGAAAAACCGAATTTGCAGTCTCTAACAGCATTTAAAGTGTAGCATAAAATACAGCATTTAAGCAGAGTCTTGAGGGCAAGCACCTCTGAATCTAGAGTTCTGTATTATTCATAACTCATACAAGCGGGAAGACTGCCTCAGCCTCCCTCGGGCCTTGGGAGAGACAGGATGCCAGCTGGGCCCAGGATGGCCGGGGGCCCTGATCTGCCACTCTGGCCGCGTGGCACCACACGTGTTCCCTCCAGAGTGCTGTTCACGTCGTATATTTGCTGCTTGCCACCGGATGGAGATCGTTGGGAAACATTTTCAGACATGTATGATCAGAAACTGTACCACTCTCTGTGAAATAATTAAGGAATGTATCTCAAGAAAAAGGAAAATGAACCATGAATTCACAGGATAAAGGAAGCAGCTTCCAGCAAGCAAGTCATAAGTACTATGCTATATTATGGTGTCAGTGCTTTTAAGAATTAAACAATCTAAAATGTCAGGTTGTGTAGGAAAGCAGAGAGCAGACAGTGCACTAGCTTTGTCTTGTTCAAGGAGAGGCAGACATTTACTGCAGTCTTTGGGAGGGAAATATAAGTTTATGCATGTTAAAAATTAAAATGTAACCAACGGCAGAAAAGAAATAGATGGTTAAGCTTTCAAACTAACAGAGAAAAAGGATGGAAAAAGAAAACTTGATTAATCTCTCAAAGGACAGAAAAAAATAGCCTGAAATAGAAAATCCACAAGTTCAAGCATAATCACATTAAATTTGGTTGGTTTCAGCTTATTAATCACCGAGGCTCCTTAGATTGGATAAAAAGTACAAAATCCAGCTATAGATACTTAAAAGATGCAACTACTAGAGGTGAAGAATAGAGGTGTGGGAAAAAGGTGTATGTAGCATAATTCATTTTTACAAGTATAATAAAAACAGCATCCATACCCTCTGATAGCCATAGATTAGATGAGTGCAGCTTGTGGGATTTCTCTGTGTGTCCTTTGTTCTTGGGTTGAGAAAAAATGGAGGAGGGTGGTTACCACTATTTTATTTACGCTATGTGAACGAAACGTGTTCTTTTTCACCAGACAGTTCTCTGTTTTGGATAATACGGGTTGTCACAAAAGTATTAGAGCAGTTTAAAGCTTTGATAGCTTCACACAGCACTTTTGACAATTGGGAAACTCTTTTCTTTTATAGTGACTGTAGGTTAACATCCGTTTTTCCCAGAAGTCGGTGTTGCAAGAAAAGTAAAGCCGACAGGTTTATGGGGGGCCTTGACATGTCCATGTGGGCTGTGTTTAAACTAAGTTACAGCGTCTTTTTGTATAGCATATGTAATCGCTACAGTTCAGGCTTAGTGCCCTATGTGTACTTCTGAACTCATAGATGTGTTTAAATTGTTGTTGTCGTTTTCTCCTTTTCTTTCTGCTAAACGTTCTCATTTTTCTCAGTGACTTGTTAAAAATTGTTTATAGGTCCTATGGCCGAGCTCCAAAGATGATTCACCTAGAATCTAACTTTGTTCAATTCAAAGAGGAGCTGCTGCCCAAAGAAGGAAACAAAGCTCTGCTCACGTTCCCCTTTCTTCATATTTATTGGACGGAATGCTGTGTAAGTATTCATTTAAAGGGAAAAGTTACAAGAACATGTCTTGGAAGGGGGTTAAGATTCAGAGGTCCGGGTTTTGCTAAGACAGCTATACTTTTTGAAATTTACTTTTTAATTTTAATTTTTTGGTAGTCTTCTCTTTTCTCCATCCTTCAGCCAAGCATGTGGCTTTGCCGTGGCCTATTTTCTGCTCTGGCCCAGCGCGGGCCACTCGTGGTGATCACCAAATATGGTCTTACTTGTGTTTCCAGTTCTTGTGAGCCATCTCACTGTAGCCTAGTGGGCACTGGGTCTTTTTAATATTTACTTTCAGCTTTGTTTTCATAACACCCTGTACTCACCATCATGACAGTTACTGTACTTACAGATCCTTGTTTGTCTCTGGCTCTGGTTTGCGGGCTCTCTGGGGGCAGGGGACTGTGTCTCCTAACTCAGGATCCGTGTCTGGTGCAGGAGGCGCTCTGGGATGCCCATCGAGTGAGGGGACGCTGCAGCTGCGGGCACTGTGGCCTTCACTCGTACTTGGCAGTTCTGTGTTCGTGAACCCATTCTTGACGGAATTACTGTTTCATGGACGAATAGGAAATTCTGTGGGCCATTTCCTCCTGTCTGTTGGACTCTGATGAAACAAGCATGTAGCAGTATACACAGTGCATAGGTCGTTGCGCTGTGACATTTCAACTGGGAGCCGGGGCTGCAGACGTAGTTCCCGTAGTTGTATTGAGGAAGCTCGCAGCTCGCGCCTGCTCCTCCCCCCAGTCCCGCGCCCTTTGCCTTGGCTCACTGTGCTCTGCAGCCTTTCCCAGCGGAGTCACGTGGGATGCGCTTCCTCCCGAGAACAAGTGTGATAGCACGTGTGAGACGCTGTCCACCGGGGGAGCTCGTTGGAGACGCGGCGCCCAGGGTTTCTGTTGGACCAGGCACATAGGCAGCCTCCGCCTGACACACAGCAAAACTCCAGGGGTGGCTAGACTCCTGGGGGAACGCAGACGTTCAGCATAAGCCATGTTGTTTGCACGGTTTATGCCCAGGGAGGCACCCCTATCACACAGTCGCGGGAACCCCTCCAAAATCCAGACCAGACTTAGCCCCCAGTGCTGATTCTTCCTGCACCGGTCAGTCATTACCGAGGCTTTTGCACACGCCACTCCCCCAAATGTATCAGTCAGCGCTCTACTGCAGGGAAGAGCCTGTGTGGGCTTCTGTTTCATTTAGTGCTTTATAGTCAGTTATCCTTACTTATTTTGACGTTCAGGTTGTCCCAGATTTGGCCAGTGAGAGTCACTTCAAGCTGGCTCCTGTGCCTTTTGAGCACTTTCTAGCTTTCCGGCACAGCAAGGTATTCTGGGTTCTTGTCCCTTTGCTACCCTTGTGCTGGAATCAGCCATTTTTTCACAGAGCCCTGGTTCCCCTGGCACTGTGGGAGGGTCCCCGCTTCTATGCCTTTTGACTACACAGGGCTAGGGAAGCATGTGTCTTAGAAATCATGAGTTGATACCGATGCCTCTGATTTTAGCCTCTAACCCCACAGGGCTCTTTCTTGCCTTACCGTGTTCCGTGTTTATATCTACCCTGGCTCTGACGCATCAACACATTCACTCACCTGCTCAGTCCTGCAGTATGCATAGCATAGTTTCAGAATTGCTACACCTGTACTACAGGCAGAAACAAACCTGCTATGAAGAGTGCAGAGTTTGTTTGCAGTTCGTGCTTTCCCTAGACTGACAGTCCACATTCATACCTGGTCGGGCTGGTCCTCTCTCAGGGGTCATTCTCTTCAGTGTTTGCCTAGTTGCTTTGGCATGCTTATTTTTCCACGTGGATTTTAGTATCAAATTACTTTTCTAAGTATTTTACTTTCTAGTTGCTATTGTCAGCGGGGTTTTCTCTCCCATTATATCTTCTAGTTGGTTTTTTTTTTTTTGTATATGAAGACATTGATTTTTTTCATGTTAACCTTGCTGAATTCTTTTATTGAGTTAGTTTTATCATTGGTTCTCTAGGCCCCAAAGTCTAGGGTTTTCCAGATATCCTATCCTGTCACCTGCAGAGAGTCTTATTTCTTCCTTTTCAATTCTTATGCCTCAGATCGCTTTTCCTGTTGTAAGACATTGTCTAGTAGCAGTGGAGACAGTGGGTATCTTTTCCTTGTTCCTGACTTCAGTGGGAATGCCTGTGGTGTCTCCCCACAGTAGGGCGCTGGCTATGGGAATAAGGTAAATCTGAGTGAGTGTGTGAAGGAACTTCCATCCGTTCCTATTTTCTCGAGGGTTTTTATTGGGAATACACTGTTGAATCCTGTTAGAGGCTTTCTCATACCTGGTGGAGGTAATCATATGGTTTTTCCCGCTTGTATCTACTAGTTTGTTGAATTACGTTAGTGGGTCTCTAATTATTGAAGCACACTCGCCTTCCTGGCATATATTCCACTTGGTCAGAGTATTATTTTCTTAGTGTGGTATTGGCGTCTGTTCACATTATTCAGGAGTTTTTGCATGTATCAATATATTCACAAGTGATTGGTCTATGACTTTTTTTTCTGCTGTGTTTATCAGGTTTAGGTATCAATGTTATACTTGATTCATAAAAATAACTTGGAAGTTTTTGTTTGTTTTCTATATCTGAAACAATTTACATAGCACTAGTACTATCTGGTCTCTAGGGTTTGCTGGAGTTCTCCTGAGAAACCATCTGGACCTGGTACTTTCTTGTGGAATAGTTCCTTGATCACTTTCTGTATCCCTTCTATGGAAATTGATCTGTTTCAGCCTTTTGTCAATTTTGATAAACTATATTTTTCTTAGAAATTATACATCTCAGTTTAAAAATTTCTTTTCATTGAGGTGTATGAAGTGGTCTTTTTTCAGCTTTTAAAATATGCTCTGGGGCTTCCCTGGTGGCTCAGTGGTTGAGAGTCCGCCTGCCAATGCAGGTGACACGGGTTCGTGCCCTGGTCTGGGAAGATCCCACATGCCACGGAGCGGCTGGGCCCGTGAGCCATGGCCGCTGAGCCTGCGCGTCCGGAGCCTGTGCTGCGTAACGGGGAGAGGCCACAGCAGTGAGAGGCCCACGTACCACAAAAAAAAAAAAAAAAAAAGCTCTGTGTCAATAGTTATTTCCCCATCGTTATTTCTTATTTTGTATATTTGTGTTTTCTTCCTTTCTTCCTTGATTAAATTAGTTGTTTCTTTCCCCCCCAGAGAAACAGGAGTTTTATTTATTAATCTGATATACTATTAGCATGTTTTCTATCTCATTAATTTCTGCTTCTGTTTTTATTATTTCCTTCCTTTTGTTTTCTTATAGTTTACTTTGTTCTTTTCCTAGTTTTTTTAAGTTGGGAATGTATTTATTTTCATTCTAAAATTTTTAGTGATATAGGTCTTTTTTTAATTAATTAATTTATTTTTTTTTGGCTGTGTTGGGTCTCCGTTTCTGTGCGAGGGCTTTCTCTAGTTGTGGCAAGCGGGGGCACTCTTCATCGCGGTGCGCGGGCCTCTCTCTGTCGCGGCCTCTCCCTCTGTTGACTTAGTTCTTGATTTCCACTTAAAGTTAACTAGTGAAAGTCATTGTTTATGAAAAGGGCCAAAAGGGCAAAAGTACAACTAATAAATGTTAACACATGGGAGATGTGAATACAATCTACAGGGGCCAAGCATCTCTAGACTCTGCTAATCTGGAATTAATATTTAGAATATTTCCACTCCTGTCTTGGAGGTTCAAAGTAAGCATTTAGAATCTGTGGCTTTTTTAGAGAAAAAAAAAAAAAAAAAAAAATGCTCTGTGTCAATAGTTATTTCCCCATCGTTATTTCTTATTTTGTATATTTGTGTTTTCTTCCTTTCTTCCTTGATTAAATTAGTTGTTTCTTTCCCCCCCAGAGAAACAGGAGTTTTATTTATTAATCTGATATACTATTAGCATGTTTTCTATCTCATTAATTTCTGCTTCTGTTTTTATTATTTCCTTCCTTTTGTTTTCTTATAGTTTACTTTGTTCTTTTCCTAGTTTTTTTAAGTTGGGAATGTATTTATTTTCATTCTAAAATTTTTAGTGATATAGGTCTTTTTTTAATTAATTAATTTATTTTTTTTTGGCTGTGTTGGGTCTCCGTTTCTGTGCGAGGGCTTTCTCTAGTTGTGGCAAGCGGGGGCACTCTTCATCGCGGTGCGCGGGCCTCTCTCTGTCGCGGCCTCTGTTGCGGAGCACAGGCTCCAGACGCGCAGGCTCAGTAGTAGGCACGGGCCTAGTCATTCCACGGCATGTGGGATCTTCCCAGAGCAGGGCTCGAACCCGTGTCCCCTGCATTGGCAGGCATATTCTCAACCACTGCGTCACCAGGGAAGCCCAGTGATATAGGTCTTTAAAGATGTGAATTTAAATATATCCCCACGTTCTGTTATTATTTTTCAGAAATTCTCTATTTTCTGTTTGTATCACCCCTTACACTCAGTAGTTTAACAAAAAGTTTTTTAATCTCCAGAAGGAAGTTTAAAAATTTTTTCACGTTAACATTTCTAATTTTATTGCATTGGGATTAGAGTGGTGTTTTTAATATTTTCTGCTATTAGGAAAATTTTTTTCTTTGTGACCAGATAAAGTCTTTGTGGATGTTCCATGTGTGCTTGAGAATGTATTTTCTTTGTTTTTAGATTGTAATATTAAATATGTACCCGTAAGAGCTTGTACTGATTATGTTGTTGAGGTCATTTATATTTTGTTTTGTCCACTTGATCTATCTTTAACTGACAGTGGTATGTTAAAGTCTTCTATTATCAGAATGTTTCTATTTCTCCTGCATCTTCTGTAGTTCTGTTTTATATAGGTAGTTGATGTATTAGTTAGTGCATGAATATTAATAACTATTATAATCTTTATGGAGTGAAATATGTCATTAAAAACATGGTTTCTGAGTAGTGTTTCATGTTTAGGAAGGCCTTGTCTATCTGAAGATAATAACTGATTTTCTCCTATGTTTTCTTTTAATATTTTTATAATTTGTGTTTTATATTTGGATCTGTATAGCTTCAAGTTATTTTTGTATATGGTAGGAGCAATGTGGGTTCAATGTCTAATTTGTTGTCTAAATGGGGAGCAACCTGACCTAATATCATTTCATAATAGTCTACCTTTTCCCCACTTACTGAACGTGTCAACTTTAATTAATTAATTAATTAATTTTTATTTATTTATTTATACTTTTTGTCTGCATTGGGTCTTCTTTGCTGCATGCAGGCTTTCTCTACTTGCGGCGAGCAGGGGCTGCTCTTCATTGCATTGCACTGGCTTCTCACTGTGGTGGCTTCTCTTGTGTGGAGCACGGGCTCTAGGCATGCTGGCTCAGTAGTTGTGTCACACGGGCTTAATTGCTCTGCTGATGTGAGATCTTCCCAGACCAGGGATCAAACCCATGTCCCCTGCACTGGCAGGCAGATTCTTTTTTTTTTTTTTTTTTTTTTTTTTTTTTTTTTTTTTTGGCGGTACGCGGGCCTCTCACTGCCGCGGCCTCCCCCGTTGCGGAGCACAGCGGCCATGGCTCACGGGCCCAGCCTCTCCGCAGCATGTGGGATCTTCGCGGACCCGGGCACGAACCCGTGTCCCCTGCATCAGCAGGCGGACTCTCAACCACTGCGCCACCAGGGAAGTCCCATCACCTTTATTTTAAAGCAGTATCCTTTATGCACAATATTCTGGACACATCAGTTCTATTGATCATTGTCTGTTCTATGCCTGGACCAGACTTTTAATTACATTTAATTACATTTTTATAATATGTATTGATATCTGTTCTTTTAAAATAAATCTCTTGGCTAGCATGCATTTTCTCTTTCATATGAATTTTAGAATCCGATTGTTAGGTGTACAGATTTTATTTTCCAAAAATGTCTGTACAGTATCTCCCATCCCACGTGTTCTTCTCTGCACGGCAGTGACATTCCTGCCATGAGAACCTGGGTCTGCATTTCCTCCAATTGAATCTGGGTGGGTCTGACTGGCAGAAGGGAAGCTATGACTCTTGAGACTGTCCTAAAAGGGAATATATCTTTTGCTGCGTCCTCTTGGGATGCTTACTGTCAGATCCCAGCCACCGTTCTCAGAGGAAGTCATTGCCCCTGTGGGAAGGCCATCTGGAGGTGTGCACTCCCAGCCCCAGCAGATGCTGTCAACAAGCTAGCGTCCATCAGCAGACATGTCATTGCCTTCTCTCTCCCAGCTTTCCAGTGCCACATCTCACACCATGTGGGGCAGACGAGCTGTCCACCAAATCTCCAGGGTTCAGGTCTGTGAGCAAATCTTCTGGACCACTGCGTATTGTAGTGGTTTGTTACAAAGCCATAGGTACCTGGAACAGTGACTGAAAAGAAAAAAACAAAAGACTGAGGTGTTTTGATTGGGATTGTCTTGGAAAAGTTACACGTTCTTCTGAGAACAATTTTAATGATCATGAATTCATTCTTCTCCTCTGGGAACCTGGTTTGTTTCTCCATTCTTTATGGCTTTTTTATGTTTTTGTAACGTGTCATAATGTTTTTCATAAAAGTCTTGCATCTTTTTGCTAGGTGTAGTTTTTGTGGGCATTATCGATGATGGTGTTTTGTTTTCCTTAAACTTGTTTTCCAGTAGGGAGCCTGTGGGGTTTTTTTGTTTTGTTTTAGTTTTTTTGTTTTGTTTTGGTTTTGGTTTTGTTTTTTTGTGGTACGCAGCCCTCTCACTGCTGTGGCCTCTCCTGTTGCGGAGCACAGGCTCCGGACGCGCAGGCCCAGCGGCCATGGCTCATAGGCCCAGCCGCTCTGCGGCATGTGGGATCCTCCCGGACCGGCGCACGAACCTGTGTCCCCTGCATCGGCAGGCGGACTCCCAACCGCTGTGCCACCAGGGAAACCCTTTTGTTTTGTTTTATTGATAGTTTTTTAAAATTTTAATTTTAATTACTTACTTAATTTTTTTGGCCGGGTTGGGTATTTGTTGCTGTGCGCAAACTTTCTCTTGTTGTGGGAGCAGGGGCTACTCTTCATTGCGGTGCACGGGCTTCAGTAGTTGTGGCACATGGGCTCAATAGTTGTGGTTCGAGAGCTCTAGAGCGCAGGCTCAGTAGTTGTGGCGCACGGGCTTAGTTGCTCTGTGGCATGTGGGATCTTCCCGGACCAGGGCTCGAACCTGTGTCCCCTGCATTGGCAGGCAGATTCTTAACCACTGCGCCACCTGGGAAGTTCCTATTGATAGTTTTGATTACCATCTGTTAAGAAAATTTTTTGGAGCAAGTTGACAATGTTTAGGAGTTTAGATTTAAAAGTAAAGCTCTTTGTTATGTTATTCCACCAGTTGCTTTATGGTTTATAGCAGCGGTCCCCAACCTTTTTGGCACCAGGGACCGGTTTTGTTGAAGACAGTTTTTCCAAGGACCAGGGGTGGGGTGGGAGGATAGTTCAGGCGGTGATGCGAGTGATGGGGAGTGATGGGGAGCGGCAGACAAAGCTTCGCTCGCTCGCCCATCTCTCACCTCCTGCTGTGCGGCCCGGTTCTTAATAGGCGCGGACCGGTACCAGTCCTTGGCCCGGGGGGTTGGGGAACTCTGGTTTATAGTATACACTGTAAGTTACACCTCTTTCCTTCAAGTCATATTATACTACTTGAGACATAGTTCCTTCCCTTTCCATACTTGTAACTCCCTTCTCTGGCTTGGAGAAGCCAGGCACTCATTATCCTCCATATGTTTGCTTATTGGAATCATCGCTGCCTGTGAACCTTCTCCTGTCACTGCTGTCCTGCTGCCCTGTGGCGTGGGTGCCCCCCGCTCTGGGGCTGACACTCTGCTGGATCACCCCTCCCCACCTCATGTGACCCATGACCCCCCTCGGAGGCCCTGTTTGCCCTGCTTGTCCTGGGACACCCCAAGCCAGCCCCCAGTCCTTCGTCATCTGCGCTGTGATGCCCTCCTCACCTGGCTTGGCTCTGGCGCCAAGGCGGCTGCTCCCCACTAGGACCCCCTCGTCCCCCTTCCTTCCCTGTGATGGCGTCTTCCTCTCTTGGCTGTGGTTTCCTGAGAGACCCTTAACCTCAGTGGCTCAGCTTGGATTCCTCTTCTGCAAAGTCAGTGAGTCTTTTTAGGAATGTTTGCTGTTTGCTCACCGTCGTGAGTGATGGACTAGGTTCTGTCCTCCCGATTCCGCCAGAACTTTGGGGGACTCTGTCCAGCCGGCCGCTCAGCGAGGCCTCTTCCCGAGAGTCCCCGCAAGCTGCCCCAGAATGTCCCCAGGAGAGGGGCTGGTGTCCCCTTGGGGTGCGGCCACCTCTCCTCAATGTGGATTCTGGTGAAGGGTGCCCTGAACTGGCCCCGGGACGGCCTTGGAGCTTGTCAGTGCTCCTCACCGCCCCTTGTCCGCCCTGCGATTTGTGTCTGTGCCTTGATTTTAAAGCTGCCGGGCTCTGTGGCTGCAGCCCCCTGGCCTTTTGGTTTCACTTTCCAGGCATCACGCATCTGGGTTTCACAGAACACCAGCATTTGTAAAATCTAAGCTTCCAGTCCTAAGCACTGCCATTGTATGGAAAATATGCAGTATGTGTGTATGTTACTGTTGGATATTAATTCACCGAAATGAGATTTTTGCAGGATGGTTTTCCTTTTAATTTTTAACCCAGAGATCTTTTTCAGATTGTACTTATTTCAAATTTAAACTGAGGACATAGCAGTTTAAAAAATTTTTAAGTACTGCCTTTTGGAACTTTTCACTTATTAATTAAATGAAAGGAGGGACTTGATACAGAATTTGAGATTTAACTCATTCATGGATCAATTACATGAGTGTTACTCGAGAGAGACTAAAAAATCCAGAGAAAATATAAGCAGGATAGTAAGGAATCTTTCTATTAAAAGAGGGGAAAGCATATATTTAGACAGTAGCTATTAATTATAGTTTCCAAAGGTTTTTAAGTGCCTGATATTGAAATGAGTTAAGCATCTTGGTTTTTTCACTCTGAATCTGCTTAGTGGATTCATGGAGCGTAACGTCAGTTGTAAATAGAGTTACAAAGCAAGGAAGACTTCTGTTTCCCTGCTTCTCCCTGGGAGAGAACCGAGGCTCGCCTCGTTGGCGTTCGCGTAGGCGGGGTGAGCTCTTTAGCAGGCTGGTGTGTGGTGCTCTGAGTCAGGAGCAGCTTTGATTTTTAGGCCCAGGCCGGCTCCCCTATCGATCCATGTGAATGAGAACAGTTTTCAAAAGCCCTAGAGTGTCCTCTTTACTCGGGTTCGCCTCTGAAGCTGCCTTGCCCCTGACGTGGCCTGCACGTGGCACTGAGGTTAGAGTGGTTCTGGGGGCTCCACAGCCACTCGCCTCTCCCATCAAGGCGGGGCTGTGACCGTGCTGGGACCCTGTTGTGCTTGGGCCCATGGCCTCTGGCCCTGCAGACCTGGGTTTTAAAGTACCAACTTAGTTAGCAGACTGTGTTGCTGTGGGCAGCTTGCTCGGCCCTCTGCCTCTCCACCTCTTCCTCTGTAACGCTGGAAGACCTCCCCTCGGCGTCCCTGGTCTTGGGGACAGTGCACACCTGGGGTGTGGTGCTGAGCCTGCCCAGAGTGCCAGCAGCCGGGACTAGCGCCGGGCTTTCCATGCAGCGTCCCCATCCCGGAGCAGGAAAGCGCGCTGTCTTCCGTTATTGGACACATTTGCCATATAAACTAAAGGATATTAATTAACCTGCTTTCACAGTGAATTATTTATTTTCAGGATACTGAAGTGTATAAAGCTACAGTAAAAGATGACCTCACCAAGTGGCAGAATGTTCTGAAAGCTCATAGCTCTGTGGACTGGTTAATAGTGGTAGTTGAAAATGATGCCAAGAAAAAAAACAAAACAAACATCCTTCCCCGAACTTCTATTGTGGACAAAATAAGAAATGATTTTTGTAATAAACAGAGTGACAGGTAAGTGTATGTTTCATTTTACCTCTTTGGGCTGATGTCTGGATGATATAGTTTACTGGCTTCCAGGTAGTAGTAAATGTTTGCTGTGTGAGCACCTGTCCGAGGCCTGACACTTGAGCATGTGATGGGTGCTGAGGAGAAGACGAGGTCCCTCTCCTCGTGGAGTTCCTGGCCGGCTGGCGAGAAGCTCTGAACAGTGATCTGCAACGGGTTACCTGGCAGGGGAGGCCCCGAGGCCTGGTGACCGTGGGAGAGACCACAGTGGGTCCCCTTGGAAGGCCGGTGATGGGTGTTAGCACAGGAAGGGCTCTGAGAAGTCTGCAGCCTGTGTACAGCAGGGCTCCTTGGGCGTTTCTTGGTGCTGGGACCCTGTGTTTTGTTTACCTTAACACCTAGTAAGAGTTCCTTAAGGCAGAAGTTATAAAATGCTGGTTTAGTCTCTCCTTCAGAAACCCTAAAAGGGAACCTGAGACCTTGGGGGCTCTACTTCAGCGCCTAGGCCTCCTTTCCCCTCTTGCTCAGCCGTGTCCGCACCCTGCTCTCTCCTGCTGGTAGCTCACTTCCTGTCTCTTCAGTGAGTCCATGCCTAGCTGTGCCGGCCAGTGCATCCCAACACCTGGCCCGTTTTAGTCTGTATCTGGCAGTTTAGCACTTGAGGTGCTGGGGATGCAGTGGTGAGCCTTGTCCCTGCTCTGATACTGCGTGGTCTAGTGGCAGAGGCGGGGATTACTTCACACCCAAGTCATCACACTTGTGGTCACCGCGGTGGCAAATGCTCAGACAGAAGGTTCCAGAGTGCGGCAAGAGCTGGGAGTAGGGGAGCTGGCCTGCTCTGGGGGCTAAGAAATGAAGGACGTGCGAGGAGTTAAGGGAAGAGATCCTGGGTGTGTGCGGCCAGGAGTCCCAACCAGACCCTGCCACGTGGCTGCCACTTGACCGCATCCTGTGTCAGGTCCACCTGATGAGCCGACAGTTCTTCGGGGAGGGAGCCATGTGTGGGCTTCCTTTCTGTGTTCCACACAATGCTGGGTACACAGTAATGTTCAGACTTGCTGTATTTAAAGTTTGAATTAGATGGTTGCGCTTACACTTTATCTTAGGGAAATCTCACTCAATCTGGACTTCTGGGGATTTTTTTCTGAGGTCTGTTATTCATACATTAGTTATCTCAAAGGAATCAGTTTAACATTCTGCTAGATGCTCCATTACTGAGTGTCCTTTTCCTCTCTGTGGTTAGGTGTACTAACATTTTTGTTCTGAAAGAAGAGTGGACGGCTGTAAGGCCTGTAGGGAAGAGAGCAGCTTTACCACCTGAGGGGAAGTGGGCCACAGGGAATGCTGAGACAGGGGGAGCCCAAAGTCAAACCCGAATGGCCTCTGAGTGGTGTTTTTTTGTTTTGTTTTTTAATTAATTAACTTATTTATTTTTTGGCTGCATTGGGTCTTCGTAGTTGCATGCGGGCTTTCTCTAGTTGTGGCGAGCAGGGGCTACTCTTTGTTGCGGTGTGCGGGCTCAGTAGTTGTGGCGCAGGGGCTTAGTTGCTCCGTGGCATGTGGAATCTTCCCAGACCATGGCTCGAACCCGTGTGCCCCGCATTGGCAGGAAGATTCTTAACCACTGCACCACCAGGGAAGTCCTTGAGTGGTTTTTAATATAACAAAAGAAATCATATTTGTTTGGGATTTTGTTAAGTAAATAAATTGGTACTAATGGGGTGTGTTAGTCTAAACTTACGAAAAGTTCAAATTGTGTAATAATTTTTTTGAAGTGCTTATTGATTATTTTTGTCTACGTTATAATTTTATCTAATTTCCAAAAGTATGTTTCTGCTAGACCCATTTAAAACTAACTTGCTTTTAATGACTATTCTTTATACGAAAAATTTAACTTACTAAAATTTTTAACATTTCATCTTCAATATTTAGAGATGCCTTCTAACATTTTGATTTTCATGAATTTGCAAAGCCACCTTTGACAAATCTGTACTTAAAAGTGTAGATTTCACTTAATACAGAATGTTTTCTTTGAACAGTAAATGTATTTCTACACTATTACTGTTAGTATATAGTAGTCCATAGTATTAATGCACTATAAGTTCTTTATACACTCCTCTGCTGAACTTATAAGTTATTGCTTACTTATTATTTTTTTTTTTTTTTGCGTTACTTGGGCCTCTCACTGTTGTGGCCTCTCCCGTTGCGGAGCACAGGCTCCGGATGCACAGGCTCAGCAGCCATGGCTCACGGGCCCAGCCGCTCCGCGGCACGTGGGATCCTCCCGGACCGGGGCACAAACCCGCATCCCCTGCATCAGCAGGCGGACTCTCAACCACTGCGCCACCAGGGAAGCCCCTATTGCTTACTTATTATTATAAAATTATAAACATCATTCTAGCTCAGATGTTATCTACATCCTTAGTTATTTCCTTAGGATAACTCCCTAAAAGGAAAATTGCTTGGTGAAAGTTTTTGTGCATTTTCAGGCTTTTGGTAAGTGTTGCTGAAACAGAGGGTCGTGTGTTAATTGTCTGTGCCAGCAGCGTCCCCGTGACTGGCAGAGACCCCGGCCTGGATCTCCTTGCCGTGCAGCCACGTGCCATGTGGACGCTGCTCTACTCCACGTCAGACTCCACCGGGCCTGACTTGAGGAGCTGTTTCGGGTTCTCCCTTTCTCAGTTAACTCTGCTTGATGTGAATTTCTGAAGCACCGTTTGTTGTATTAATAAGAGAAGAAGAAGGTGTAGTAGAAACAGTAAATGTCGAAGGGGCATAATAAGGGGTGGACAGTGTCACGAATGTATTGTCTGATTGATAAGCACCAGGTCACTGAAGGAAACATCGTTTTGGTGATTGGTGTTTGTGTCAGTTTCCTTTTTCATCTACCCCTTGTAGGTATAGAGAACTCTGTGTCTGGTCAGGAATAAACAGGGATTATAATCCTTGAGAATGCCTTAAGGAGAAACTACTGAGCTGATAGACCCTCGCAGCTCATATAGTGAATAAATACATGTGAGTCCTTTGAGGGAGAGGGCTTAGGAATGAGCTTACTGGACCCCTTTATCTTTCAGGGGAAGAAACAGAATCTAGTGGGGATGGAATGACTGGATTAAAGCCGGCCACCGACTTAAAAATTTTCTTCTTGGTACTGATTACTCACCTGGTGGACCACCTAGACTATGGCTGTTTCACCCTTTGTCCACTGATTTATAATCCATAGCTTTAGTCCTCCCTCCAAGAGGTATGATGGAGCTCAGAGAAAATGAAACTTAGAATCTGTTCATTTTGCTACTTGCTGGTACTTCAGGTAGAATATTTACAGAGGAGGAATGTTGAAACTCATAGCATCAATATTTAAAAGTTATTTCTGAGTTCAGATTTATTCATCTTTCTGAATTACTGTTACCAAGGATAAAGAAAGTTACCTTTTCCAGTCTCTCGGATGAATGTGCTGCCTTTTCCAAATCCATTGGAAACGCTTGTAATTTTATGCCTTTGATATTTTTACACCATGCATACAGTCTTTTTGTAGTGAAATTGTATTATACCTACAAGTTAAGCAATATCTTTCTAAGCCTTTATTTATCAAGTATTTATTAACGCTGCTCTCGAGGCGCTCACAGTCTGGTGGGAGAAAAAGACCAGGAAAGAGAGGAGGCGTTTCCAGGGCGCACTGACTGCTGTGGTCGTGGAATCGTGGAATCGCAGTGGGTCCAAGCGCAGAGCAGCAGGGGCGGGGCTGGGGGAGAGGTTCAGTGAGGGTGTGTCAGCTGAGCAGGGCTGTGCGGGGAAGGTGCTGGGTAAAAAGACGGGAGAGCATGAGAAGCTGAGTGGGCTTGAGCTGGAGATAGTAGGAACCAAAGCTGGACAGCTGGGTTGGTCCGTGCTGTCATGGGCCTCGTGTGCCATGTGAAAACATGTAAATTTTAGTCTGTCAGTTGCAAGGAACCGAAAGGTTTTTGAAGGGGGCCGGGCAAATGGGGTTTGGGAACTGAGTGAGATACGATCAACTTATTTTACAGAGAGCCCTGGGGATAGGATCTAAGACTCAAGACTCATCGTAAATCCCTCTCCCCCTTTCCAGTCCGTTCTACAGCAGCACTCTTGGGAACAGCGTTGACTCCTCATGTGGCATTAGATCAGTTCACGATGAAGCCTTTTCCCGATCTGATTTCTCACCACCTGACTAATGTTTTTTACCCATTAAAGAAGGAAGAAAGGAAGGGGAGGGAGGATGCCAACCTGCGCCCCAGGAAAGTGGTAGCCGTGGGGCAGCGGTTCTGTGCTTGCGGTGGTTTCTCCACAGTCCGTTCATCTCTCCACAGGTGTGTCGTGCTCTCCGACCCCTTGAAGGACTCCTCCCGAACTCAGGAATCCTGGAATGCTTTCCTGACCAAACTCAGGACATTGCTTCTTATGTCTTTTACCAAAAACCTAGGCAAGTTTGAGGATGACATGAGAACCTTGAGGGAGAAGAGGACCGAGCCAGGCTGGAGCTTCTGTGACTATTTCATGGTGCAGGTACTTGGCTGATTATATAGAGCCAGGCTGTTTCCTTCTCCTCTCGTCCCCTCTCTTGTTCTTTATGAATAAGGCAGCTCTCTTGGTAATTCATATTGACATAGTTTTTAAAACCAAAAGGCAGTACAGTAGGTAACAAATGATGCTTCATTCTCTTGGCTTCTTAAGCAGAGGATCAGAGATGGTCTGCTGAGTAATCATTCTGTCAGCTGCCCTGCTGCTTCAGAGCTTGGCATCTAGCCTTCTATGAAATGGCCTTGTTCTCAGAGTCCTTCTGGTTTTTTTAGTGTCTCGGGCCTCCTGGGGTGTCTACCGTGGACATGGCTTAGGCAGAGGAGTCCCAGCAGTCATGATGATCCTGATGATAAAGACGTCCACTCCGTGCCTGGCGCTGTGATTAAATTATGACTTCTCAAGAACGTTTCCTCTGTAGTTTTGTTTTATAACCTTGTGTTCCAATAAAAGATTGTCTTAAGCTGGTTTCTTTACTCTAGTTTACAAAAGTATGGTCTGTAATCAACTCTTTCTCTCTTTTAAAAAAAAAATTATTTATTTTTTATTATTATTATTTTTGGCCGCATTGGGTGTTTGTTGCTGTGCGTGGGCTATCTCTAGTTGTGTCGAGCAGGGGCTGTTCTTAGTTGCGGTGCACGGGCTTCTCATTGTGGTGGCTTCTCTTGTTGTGGAGCATGGGCCCTAGGTGTGCGGGCTTCAGTAGTTGTGGCTCGTGGGCTCAGTAGTTGTGGCTCGCGGGCTCTAGAGCACAGGCTCAGTAGTTGTGGCTCACAGGCTTAGTTGCTCCACGTCACGTGGGATCTCCCCAGACCAGGGATTGAACCCATGTCCCCTGCATTGGCAGGTGGATTCTTAACCACTGTGCCGCCAGGGAAGTCCCAACTCTTTCTCTTTTAGGAAGAAAAGTCTTAAGAGAACAAAGCGGTGTGTAATAGAGTAGTTTGGGGGAGGAGACCTTCTTAACACTGCAGAGTGATGAGAATGTTGCTCTTAGGGTTCCTTGTTCTTGTTCACCATGTTTTGACTGAAAAAGTGTAATTTTCATATTTAAACATCACTTGTATATTAATCACTGAAGAAATAACGCATTTTGAGTAAATAAAAGACCAATTCTCATTAGAAATTTTGAAGTTCATCTCTTATTCTGATGCTTCTGTCTTAGTGGTATTTGGATGATTTTGGTCACTTAAGGGAATTTGAGTGTGTTCATAATTCCCTGTATGACTGACCAATGACAGATCTTTCAGATTTCCCTGTCTCTTTACCCTTCAAGCTTATTAAACTTATTTTTTAAGAGTAACAAACCAGGAAAGAGGGAGTCTCAATGAACCCAGTGGTGCTGGTTTAGAATCAGCGTGAACCCATGGTTGGATGGCTGCTGGCTAGATAGATTCACAAGTACAGAGGTATGCGTAGGCGAGGGTTAATACATATACATATATTTCCTTGCTCTCTCCTCTGATGGGGCCTAGAAAAAAATGACACCTCAGTAGCAATGAACACACTCAGTGCCAAGATCTTGGTTTCTAAACTGCATTCTCCAATAAAAGGTGCCAGGGCTCCTGTGGAAGTGGTTGATTCCGGGGCTGGTGTAGGGAAGATACAG